TTAGCATATAATAACATTATTTAGTCAATAATTTATAATATTATCTAATAAATATGCTAAAAAATGATTATATTATTGAAACAAAAAAAATTATTATAATGTTAACCTACTACACTACATTTAGCTAAACATAAGTATTCTATTTTTGTACACAATATGCGATTTTCAATACCAAGTTAGTGCATTTGGTCGAATACAATAAAATTGAAAAATATCCTACTGCGGCAAAATGTTACAAAAAAATTTTTATAGAAAAATCAAAATATTTTACTGCCAAACGTTGAATTTATAAAATATAATGTAATAATTCAATAGGGTTTCACTTAAAAAATTAGATATAGTTGGAACTTAAAATATGTTAAAAATGAAAATTTCAAATATTTTTTAAAATAACTGAAAAAACAACAAAAAATTAAGAAAAAATTGAAAATTTTACGCAAAACCACAGTATTTGACGAAATCTTATTTTTTTGATTTTTTTTTTTAATACCTTAAATATAACAAATACATACAAAAGTTTTATATTAACATTTTCTATACATCATAAAATTTTCAAAATATTTTTAATTATTTTATGTTATTTAAAGGTATTTTTAATTTTTAATTTGTTCTACTTTTTTTATCTAATTTCTAGTGTCTATAGTTTTTAAATATTAATAAAATGATTTTAACTGAATCAAAAAACTTAAAAATCTATATAAAGTTCTTCGTAGGTTTTTATTATATTTCACAATTTCAAAAATTAAAAATGATAATTTTTTTCATACACCTTTGAATTTCAATATATTTATATGACAATATACGTTGATAGACCGACTCCGCTCAGAAACATTATTCGTGGTATAATGATTTAACGTCATTAATTTAAAATTTAACACACCCATTGCTATAGTGGCCTACTCAATAATACGAGATACACTTGACTCTTAATGTACAACGGAGTAGACCTAATATAACTTAACCTAATCTATTTCTCCCCTCTTTATACTTACACAGCTAGTTATACATACTGACAACAGAAAACATATACTACGCAATCACGAAAAAAGTTATTAGTTTTAATGATTTTATTAAATTAATTATATATAGACTCATCCGAATAATTACGTCAACTTTCTTTTCTTCAATTTAATGAAAAAAACAACATTAAGAACTCAAAGATAAATCATTATATAAAATTCAATTATATTTTTTGTTATCTCATATTGTGCTAAAAATTAAAATTCTTCAACTAAAATGACACATATTATTTCTACATTTTTATTATCCGATAGCGCCGTTCCAAATTTACAATAATAAATTTAGGTACATTTTTAAAATATATGTTAATCTAATTTTCATTCAAAATCTGTGAATCATAGTATACCTCTTAAAGGCTAAAACCAACAAATATTATTAATCTTTACTCGTGGTTATAAACGTTTTGAGACTTGTGTGTATAGTTAAAATAAAAACATCACATTATTTACTTTTAACAAAAATAAATCTTTTGCTTTTTATTATTATTTATAACCCTAAACATTTTATTACCTGATATAAGAATATAGTAGTATTTCCAGTAGTATTTCATTTTAATCAATGGCATAATGATATCATATAATTGTGGAAACTCGTTTGCGCTTTCCGCACATATTAATATATTTCTAAAATTTAGAATTACTCGTATGTGCACAGAATATTGTGAACAATGATAACAATTATGTAAGTAAAGTTATGTGTATTGTACCTACATAACGGTGTATCATCAAGATGACATAGGTTTCGCTGTTTTAAAATCAAAGGCCGGTCCCACACGAGACAGGACTAATATAATACACTCGTATTTATTCCCATCCGTAACATTTTAATCACGATTGCCTACTATGAATGTATGTGTATATTCTAGGTTTTTAAAAGCTTTTGAATACCTGTACAAAAGAACTTCTCTGTGTAATTGCACAAATTACAGTAGGTACACTAAAGCTACTCTTGTACATGTATACATATTTTATAGGTACCTATTATATTATGTGCGCGCATATAAGTATAATATATAGTTAAATAGGTGTATAACAAAATCCAAAGTAATAACCTATTTAAACACATACAGCCATTAAGCATATATATATATATATATATATATATATAGGTTTACCTACGCTTCGACATGGTGTTTCCCAACAACGATTTGTACGCGTCAACGGCACAGTCACGCGCGTGGCTATTTTGTCCGTTAAAGTAGTATTACCTTGCATGATGTACCTACCAACCAATACCTATATTATAGGCGTATATATCGTAGTTCTCTAATTAATCGCGAAATATATATATTTCGTGTTTGCTGGCCGTGCACAAATCGCGAAAACGGTCTTGCCGAGGACTTTGACCGTGTACTATATAAAGCACACACCTACACATTATTGTTAGGTACCTATATTATAAACTAACACCGCTGCACCCCACCAACCTACCGCAACCATACGTTGACAAACGCCAACGTTATATAGTCCCGTTTTATTTATTTAAGTATGCATTTATACGTGTGTGTATATATATGCGGTAGTATAAGTGGGTATATTTTTTGTTTTTCCGTTTTTTTGAGTATATTTCGGAATTTGTACGCATAAATTACCGGAAGCCCGCTAAAATACTGCGGTGGGTTTAAGCTGGCGGTGACAATATTAATGGCCGTTGCTAATAAGCTTAAAACCCGCGGCACTTTCGATATCAAGCAAAACGGATCCGAGCGCATTTCGCAGCGTTAAAACTATATATTTATGTTTATATATATATATGTGTGTACAGGTAAAATATAAATAAGTTATACATACATATTATATACGTTTATAATATTATCTTTTCTACCGTTTTTCCTGGGTTTTATTTTTTGTGTTTTGGTTTTATTATTTTTGTTTCCACTAAAAGCGTACGAACAGTACCTATAGGATGTAATGTATAAGATTAAGTGTTTTATATGTCTAAGACGCGTATATTTTATGGAGCAATTGTCTGTCCGACCACACTGATTTGGCAAATAATCTAAGTCATTTGTTTTTTTCTTCTTACTAAATCTGTTTTTCCCGTTTGAAATATTGGTGTACTTGTGAAAATGAATTTTTCATAATACTAATAATACTAATGATAATCATTAAAACATTTAAAACAGATTACAAAATAATGTATACCAATTAATTAGATACCTAATAGGTACCAGGTACCTACATACCATGTCATTATAAAAGAATTTTAACTTTATTTGGAGTTTTGTGGTTTGGATCTTCCGTACTTAATATTTAATATTTTGTCACATGGCATGTAAATGTGTTTCAAATAACTTCGACACCCACACCTCTATACACTTTTATACTCAAAAATATTTAGAAATAATAATTAATATTGAACATAATAGTATCATATAGGTGTGCAGGGTATAATATTCGTAAGAAAACAATTGTCATATGAGCAAGTTCACATAACTTTAACTCGATCAAAAAAGGACAAGTAGTCATGAATATTGCTCGTCTTTTTCCTAACAATCCAACAACCACATAATAAACTTTTAATCAATAGCACTAAAATAAATATACTTAATTTTTTTTTAACTTATAGACCTGGGTAAAAACGTATAAATCAAAACTGAAAAATATATTTAATTTAATACTAGAGGCTATTATCTATATCATTGAAGCCTATACAATGAATAAAAAATATATATATTATCATAAGAAATGTATATGTTTAGCTATCCATAATATATGAGAGAATACAACATCAGTTTCTATGAATCTTAAAAGTATCGTTTTTTTTTTTCGTACAGAAGACGTTACAATTTCACTCAACAAACAAATGGGACACTTTATAGTTTTGAAAAAAAATATTTTATTAAATTATTTACTTGAATAATATATACCTAGTTTTATTCGACACATTTACATACATCATTTTCATTTAATATTTGGGGAGTATGAGTACCTATCTACTACCTAGGTAAGGCTAAAGGTATTATTTTAATCTTATTTTTTTTAACTTTTATGACATAAAAATAAATTATTACTAAATATCATTTATAAGGTTATTTATTACTAGAATTTAGAAGTTAAAGTAACTAAAACAGGCAAAATATTAAATTGAAAACATATTTTAAAAAATACTGTAAAATGTTGATTTGTACAGATTCACCAAAAAATAAACAATTAATAGATTTATAAGTTGATAACTTATAAACAATAAGATAATATTTTGGCATATTAGCCTGATATAGATCAAATGCACATTGTATCGTTATCATAAAATTAATATTTTATTATGACAATGACAATAAACACCTACAAAAAATAATATTGAGATTTTTATTCAATATTATTTCAAATTCACAAGTAAGAAGAAAAATTTTTTTTAGAAAATATTAAATAATATGGTTAATTTGCATATGAAAATCAATGAACATATTCTTTTTACGTAAAATTAATGAAATATGTAAAATATGCATTTCCAATTTTCAATTTTTAACCTTGTCATCATATATTTCAAATTTCTAGCTTGGTTCAACTATAAATCGAAACTAAATAAAATAATATGCAACTTCTGCACCTTGCAAGCCCTATTTATTATTATTTTAAACTGTCTTTTGTCCCTTCTTAATTATACAACTATAGTATTAAAGTTTTAATACAAAAATATTAAAACTATTTCTTATTTACGTTATAATCTTTATAATATGTCATAAAAGTACCTACGTTAAAATAGCATAGGATTCACATTTTTTATGAAAGCCATTCTAACACATCACTATCTGTGGTTCTTTTAACAGTTTTGCAGTACCTAATAACTAAAAACAACTATTTTTACTTATCATTTATTTGAAAATTTTAAAATTTACTTGGGGACTTCATTGAGCATGTAATGTTTAGTTTAAAAAAATATATAAAATTTATTATTTACAATATAATTATTAATATTTTTAGTTTATTAAATATAATTTTTAACATAAGACTTGAGCAATCAAAAAACAAATAAATAAATTAAAGTTTGTTTTTTAACGATTTAATTGGTAGGTACAATAATTAATCAGAATCATCTATAAGTCCATCTGAATCATACACTAGAACTTTCCCTTTTCCTTTAATAGGAGAATTTCTAACAGGTAACGAATGACATCTGGCAAACACAAGTGCTGTGTCAGAAAATTCTTGTGTTAAATTACTATTTTCATTGACATATTTTTTAATTGGCTCATTATCAACATGAAAATCAGCAACCTGAGATAATAAAACATCTTCTTCTATACATTCTTCTCTGAACTGTTCAATTAATGAATTAGAACTGACTAAATTGGCTATTTTTGACTGTTGTTGATTACTTGACTGATGTTTGCGTTTTCTAGAAATACTATCTGGATACTCAACTTGTACTCGCATTGGAGTTCGTAAACTAGAACTCGCTATTTGAGTATGATTTATATTGGATAATAAATTTTCTGATTTCCCATTACTACTCTGAGTGTTATCAATGGCATTAATATTTAAACGTATGGAATTAGCATCTCCTGATAGTGCACTATCATTCATTGTTGATAATATGTACTGGCTTTCAAATGTTAAACCGTTTTTAAGTCCAAATACCATGGGCCTAATGAAACAAAATAAAAATAATTTAGTATTAATATAAATTATAAGATAAAATCCTCATAATAATCATTATACTTACATTCCAGGAGAACTAAAACGAATAATAACTGGTAATGTCATGTGCTCTGCAAAAGCCAATAGAGGTCGTATTTCTTTAAGAGAAAATGTTATACAGCAGCCTTTGCCAACATCATAAACATCAAATTCTGATGATTGCAAATTTAATTCAGTTCTTAACATTTGTCTTATATCTATATTAAAATACATACATATTAGTCATAATTGATAAGTTTAAATTTAATGACAAATCAACTGCTATTATGATACTAGAAATGATCCCATGCAGCTAGTGTATTTGGCCAAAATTGGTCACAGGCGATTTATAACCAATGTTGACCTTTATTGATCCTTGCTCCCACACAATTACTAACTAGTATACATAAACAAGTATAGCGCCACATTATATCCAAAATATAAGTAGTTCTTTGATTCGTGTTAAATTTACCAAAAATCCATTAAAACAAGTCAGTGACCAACAATAAACATGTAAAACCTTCCACACGGCTGATCAATGGTAACCAGTGACAAATTTTAGCCAAGTACACCAGTCAAGTGGGACTGGCTTAAGATTTAATTCAAACACCTCGACAAGATTCTGGATGAGTTTTTAGTATCACTTTTTCAGTAGTCACAATTAATGTAATGTCTGTTTCACTGTTTTGAAAATGTTTAACAGCAGCTGACAACACTTTGGAGTCAATACAAAGTACATGACATGTATCGACATTCTGATTTACCTAATTAAAACAAAATTAGATGTATTAAAAATAATAAATTCTCAATTAAGCTATTTGATAATATGTATTTTATTTTTGGTTTGCATATGAACAAGAATGCTACAATATTATTTATTTCCAATACAACCCAATCAAAAACTCACCTGTAATGCTGAGTATTCTAGAACTGGTATCAAATGAGTTTTAACACAAAAATTTGAATAGCGTAACTGAATAGTTATTGTATCAGCATTACTTTTAATTTCCATATGACATGATTCCAAGCAACGGGATAAATGTGGAGATTTGAATATTGTAATACATGACTAAACATTTAACATAAAATGATCAGGTCTTTGAAGAATTTAAATTTGTGTTAGATAAATCAAAATATACCTTGAGAGATATTTTACATTTTAATGAATTTTCACTGTTTTGTTCGTCGTCTTCAGTAAAATAATAACTAGAAAAAAATGACGAATCAAATGTAAACCATGCATATACGGTGTGCCAACTATTGGTAGTATGCATGACTAATTGTGATGAATTGGGCTCAATATATAAATCTTCCCCAATTCGACACATTGTGTTTAATGCTCGTGACAGAACTGTAATCATGAACAAAATATTTTATTACTCATATAATTGCAAGTTAATAATTATAAAAAATAATCATCACTGTATATTTTAACAGTTATAATTTAAAACCATACAATATTATGAATATAATTAATAATAAATTATTTGGGATTTTATTATCAGATATATTTTCACTTTAAGGTGATCCTACAAAATTCAAAAACATAAGTATTAATCATAGTTACTTTTCAAATTCTGTCTGGGTATAACACACTTCATAGTGACAACGGTTTGTTGTGGTCATCTACGTTTAGGACATTTCATACTTATTTTTATAAAACTACAATGAACTAAATAAACCATTCCAAACAAAATTTGGTCATCTCTGAACATTCCATTCCAAACAAAATTTAGTCATCTCTGAACACTCTATTCCAAGAATCATCAGAAATTACAAGCAATCGTGAACTCGCGACTATAAATCTGTTGATAGTCGACGACTCGAGTTTCGGAGTTTATATTAAAATAATAAAATGTATAAAAGCAAAATTATAAAATTGTGGTGAAAATTTAAAAACAAATTAATTATCAATTATTTAATATCAAGTCAAATCTTGACTTTCTATATTATCAGTGATTATTATCACGAACTGATGAGCACGATTGCAAGTCCAACGACTACGGTACTTAATTATCTACGCCCATGGAGCCTCCTGCTCGTTATCAGTGTCTCGTTGCGGAAAAATGCAAAATTCTTATCATTTCCTTTCCATTAATGCACAACTCATTCCACAATAATACAATATTAATTATAATTGTAATTTATTAAGATACCTACGTTGAGAATATTCCAATAATTAATTTTTTTTACTGTGCACTGTTAATCAATAGCTATTAACCATCATTGTTGGTTTATTATTCCAATTTTTAAGCAATTTAAATTTCCAGATCACATTCTTTATTGTTAATATTGTTAAAATTTAATTTTCAGTATAATTAGAGTCATGGTTCATTTAAGTGGTAAGTTTTAATTTAATGTACCTCGTGATTGATTAATAATTGGTCCTATTGGCTTATTATTATTATTTTATTTTTAGAAGCTCAAGAAAAACTTAAGAAATATAGAGAAGACAATGAACGTAAGAGTAAAGAAGTATTAGAATTATGGGATTCATCTGTCAAACATAAAATTAAGCAATTAGGAAATGATCGTAAGTGTTTTGTTGTAGTATCCACAACCATAAAAGAAAAAACAATGACTTAGAAACAGGTCTTTTATGTTTTTTTTTTATATGTCAATTTAAATTCTAAATATTTCTTATTTAATGATAGCCAACTGTAGGTAATTAAAATTAGTGTATTCCAACATAACCAGCATATTATATAATAAAATAACACAGGGTTATAAAAAATGTACAAAAAAATCTATCAAATAATAACAGTTCATAAAAAGTTTTTTAATTTATAATTTGGAGATAGAATTTTAAAATGTTTATTCAACTTTCTTAAAAATTAAAGTATCAAAAAACAACATAAAACCTTTAATATTAGGTCAGTTCAATCTAATGTTAAAAATAACTATAAAATGGTTTCGTCTGAACATTAAATATAGTTATAAATTATTAAGTTAGAATTGGCATACTCGAGTACAAGTGTATGATGTATTCTTTATCATTCTATACTGTCTAAACACATGTTAAGCTGAAATTCACTATGATCATAATAAAGCATGAATTAATTTTGAAATGTAAAATTAAATAAAAATTAATGTTTGTAAATGGTTAGTTACAACTATAGCTTTCTAGTTATATATTAAGTTACCTAAATTTGTATAGTTAGTTTTTATGATTTTGAAAAAAATATTTTTTGGAAGGTACCTTGGAATGTTTTATAATATTACTATTGCATCATATTTTTTAAATAAATTACCATAATCATTTTTTAAAACAACATTTTATGTATTTTATCTTATAATCAAAAACAGAATACTTTTCTAAAGTTGTAATGTATGAGTATCAAAAAATTAACAATTAGGTATACAAATTATTTGAAATTGAAATGAAAAGAGTAGTGATTTACCCTTTGGGCTATGGCTCTGATAATTTTACTTAAAATGCTTAATAAAAATGAATTATACTTGATTGATATTAATACATCAAAAATGTAATCAAAATATCCATTTAGTGATTTTTGTCTTTTTGATATGAAGTATAATATAAGTATAGTATAAAATCAATGGTATTATAATATTCTTCTATTTGATCAATCAAGAAAACCAATAAATTGATCATTACCGGTTTAATAAATAAATGTTAGTACCTGCTTAATTTTTGAGTTTATTCTTTGTATGACATGTATAAACAATTTATTTATTTTTCTAATGACAATTAACTATGTTTTTATTAAATCTTTTTTTTAATATTACAGGTTACCTAGTTTTAGAACAAGTATTAATAGCAGCATGTGATTGTAACCGTATTGATGTTGCCAAAGTATGTTTACAAATGCTTCTTAATAAATTTCCCGATAGTCTTAGAGTGCGGAGACTGGCAATAACTATACTAGAAGCAGAGGAAAAGTAATTAAACGATATTTCTTTTAAAAATTTGTATTTCAAAATTACACAATATTTTTACTTAAAAAAGTATTACTTATTTTATATTATAATTTTTTAATGTCCTCAACTTATATTGTACAAACTAGATATGATGAAGCATTAGAATCTCTTGACAAACTAATCAAGGCAGATGAAACCAATGCTCAAACCAGAAGACATAAAGTAGCAATATTAAAAGCTAAATGTCAGATTAGCGAAGCCATAAAAGAACTTGTTGAATATCTTAAAAAGTATGTGAACAATAAAATATAATGATAATTTATCTGTATTATATTATAATAATTTCAGGTTTATGGTAGACCAAGAAGGTTGGCAAGAATTAAGTAATTTATACTTGTTGGAAGGAGAATATGCAAAATCTGCATATTGTATGGAAGAAATGATTCTACATAATTCTCAGAATCATTTATATCATCAACGAAATGCTGATATTCGATATACACAAGTATTGAAACTTTAATTACAGACTTGTAAAATTATTGTATTATTTCTTGTATAATATGTATGGACATTCAAGAAATTAGTAAATTTTTTATAATTACTGTTTAATAATATACTATATTGTATGAAATTGTTAGGTATTGAAACTTTGAATAAAATAAACAATTATAATTACTTTTATTATTATGTATGTATATATATCTAAAATTAAACATTAGATTTTATTTTTCAGGGAGGTACAGAAAATTTGGAATTAGCACGTGCTCATTATTCATATGCTATTCTTCTTAACCCTAACAACATCCGAGCTTTGTATGGATTATACTTGGTAAGACTATATTATCATGTTTATTTTATACATTTACTATAGTTTATGTTTAATCATTAGTTATTAATCACATAATGATAACATTAATACAATATATTTACTTTTTATAAGACAAATAGAATACTCATTAGTGGCTAAATTTACCTATTATCAATTTTAAGAAAAAAATATTATGCATGATTAATTTTCGAGTTATTTTATTTAAATTTTACTATGGGTTCACTGACTTAATGTATATAAGTATCACTTTAAAATCATTTAATTCAAAATTAAATATCAACTTTGTGTGACCATAATTTTAAGATAATGAATAATCTTTCTTTCAACTATATACTATGCAATAATAAGTAAGTTAACTCTAATTTATCTTCATTCTCACATCTCACGAAAATTTAATTTATCTTAATAAATTGATATAAAGTATCCTATTCAATTGATTTTAAAGTATAACAAAATTTATATTTTAGACTGCTCGCAGTTTGATGTCATCACAAAAAAATAATCAAACAAAAAAAAATACCTTCAAAAAAATTGCTACATTATCATTAAAGCGAGTTGAACACATGTACAGGTAAATAGTATAACTCAACTTTTCAAATATTTTTTATTAATTATAAAATTATTTATTGATTTTTCAGTGAGAAAAAACAATTAAATAAAAAAAATCAGTTGTATGTACTTGAAACATTAATGGGATCGTTGCATTTGAGCTTAAATTAAACTAGTCTTAGATATTTTATATAACTTTATGTTTATTATTTTTACTTCATAAAAAAAAATGTTGGCATTTTTTAAGATTATATCGTACCTAAACTTCTATATGATAATGTAAATTTTATTTGATACATTGTAACATGTTCAACCAATGGATAAGACAATTTCTGAATTTCATTTGTTTTTAGTTTCTATTCAATATCACTATAGTATTAATATTACTGCTTTCTTGTGACCAACATTATTGTTGTTTCCACAAGTTGTATCTACCACTTTATATTGTATTATTATTATTTAATTAACAATACAAAAATTACAAGAACAAATAAACTAAAATATAGTGTCGATAAAATTCAAATAACTGCCACAAATATAGCACCTACGGCCACATTTTCATACAACAATTAAACTACCTATTAGACAATAGGTTTTTATTTTCATCAATATTTTGTTTCAGCTGCTATATAATTTCTAGTTAGTATTGAAAAATGTGGCGTTTACTTCTAAGAAAATAATATTGTATAATTTAATAAACTTACATATTTTTAAATTTTTGTTTATTCCAACATACTTAGTAAAATAAATAAAACTGATTTAAAATGTTTTTAATTTTAATATCATATTGTACTACTATTTACATTTCCCCAATACAAGCAGGAGTAAAATTCTGCAGTATTATTCTCTTCATAATTAATTTTACTTTATTTTAATCTTAGTTAATTTAATTAGGATACTGATTAATCACTCTATGTATATTTATGTTCTGATGTTTAATATGTTTATATATTCTAATGAGTATTCAATGCCTGCTAGCCTTTATATAATTGATGATTGTTAATGAATAAATTGTAACAGAACAAAACAATCTGTGTAACATCAACATGCAATGTAATATATAAACTTCATAATATTTAAGTCATTTGGGACAACATTGTAATTTTATATGGTATAGATTTATACTTAATAAATATTTTTATTTATTATTAATAGTATAATATAATATATCATGTACAATATACGTTTTAGATATGTAAATAAACAACTTGGTCCAATAGTCCCATCAAGTTTCTGATAAAACTCCAATCCAAAATTTAGTAGGTACTCAGTACTAAATTTTTAATACTCCATAGTCCTCCCCCCCCTCAAAAAAAAAAAAACACGAAATCACTCATTTGACTGTGTTAAGTTAAAAATGGCGCTGCACACATTAGTAGTTCATATGTGTGGGCAAAGTTACACCTAAGTTGATTTGCTCATGAAGTTTTAGTTATTTTTCTTAAACCAAATAACATCAAGTGATGAACACTGCATTTTATAATTTATCATTTTTTTCTGGTGAAATCAAGTAATATTCATTAATAATAGATACACCCATCAGAATAGCAAAATAATTGTTGTAAATAAGAATAATCTAACCTAACCTAAACAAAATATAAATGGACAAATATAAATATTATTACCTATTAATATAAGATGAAAATAATTAA